CGAACTCTAAGAACCTGATTTGCTTCCCAGCGGGGCAGGAACAAAGTGTATGCTCTGCTGTTTCATCATTTTCCAAACAGAGGCGACATACACTGTCTTCCAACAGACCGAGTCACTGCATATAATGATTCAATCGACAGTGACCTGTAAGAAGGCCTATTGGACATCGTAGTTCATCCCTAATGCAGTCTAACAACTATTTGGTATCAAGCTTCGAATGGTGATTAAATGCCTTGGAGTGAGCCAATTCTGGAAGATTCTGCCAGAAGTCCATAAATTTTCTTACCATCCAGGTGTTCAATGTTTGTTTGGCAAAGCCTAAAGCGATGCCAATGACAGGTTCTCGTCCTATGAACCTACTTGCAGCATCCTCCTTTGCAAGAGAGTCAGCAGCTTCATTGCCTTCCAGGCCAGTATGGATAGGAATCCAGACCAGAGACAATCTGTTAAGTCTTCCAATCGAGGAGAGTCGTTTTTGGTAATTTGCTACCAATTTAAACATTGCACGGTAGGAGCCAAGAGCTTCCAACGTCACATGACTGTCCGAGAAAATTTTTATTGACTTGTGTAGGTTGGATTCTTCCAATCTCTCTGCACATAATCCAATAGCGTAAATTTCCGCTTGAAATACAGTCGCATAAGTTCCTAGACAGGTAGATAACTCTGTCCTGGGTCTGCGACTGAAAACACCTGCACCAGAACCCTTAGGTGTTTTTGATCCGTCTGTGAACCAACAACTATCAGCTGTCCATATTTCCTTCTCTCGGAGGATCCAGTCCTCTCTACTCGGGACTTCGCAATATTACATGACATCGTTGAAACTGAAAATAACATTTTTAATCGCCACGTAATCTTCTGGTCCAGCCCAAACCAACTCAGTTGGATTCAAAGTTCTTGAAAGAGCTATTGAAGTTCAGTTGAAAGAACACATTGATAATTTCTCTATACTTTCAATAACTCAATCCGGATTTCGTAAAGAACATAGTTGTACAACTGCTTTGTTGCATATAGTGGACGATATTATTAGAGCACGTGACGAAAAAAATTATACAGTATTGGTACTTCTTGATTTCAGTAGAGCGTTCGATACTATTAATTTCGATTTAATGTTATTAATTCTTGGCTGTATAGGACTCTCTAAAAATGCTATATCACTAATCATATCGTATCTCACCAACCGTCAACAAAAGGTTACCATAGAAGGAAACAGCTCACAATATTTGAAGTTGATATGTGGAGTGCCACAGGGCTCCATTTTGGGACCCCTTTTGTTTGCTATCTACACATCTCAACTTGCAAAATGTTTAAAATTTTGTAATATATATTTGTATGCAGACGATACCCAGTTGTATTATAGTAAAATGCCGTCTTACTTACACCAGAAAATCACTTTTAGAACTGATGTGCATAATATTAATGTAAGGTATAAAGGCCGACTAACTCCGCCATCCTTTCGCACATAATTCTTTAGAAGGAGTTTCAGCTACCAGATCTGTGCAATTTATAATGACATTCCCGAGCCCATGAAACGAGATGACTTCAATCATTTTATTATCACCAGAAAATCACTTTTAGAACTGATGTGCATAATATTAGTGTAAGGTATAAAGGCCGACTAACTCCGCCATCCTTTCGCACAGAATTCTTTAGAAGGAGTTTCTGCTACCAGATCTGTGCAATTTATAATGACATTCCCGAGCCTATGAAACGAGATGACTTCAATCATTTCAATATCAATTTCAAACGATTCTTATTATCTTCAAACTATTAATGACCCAATAGCTACCTACATATTACAAATCTATAAACAGTCATAATATTTTAAGATATTTAAAAATTCTTTTTGTTTATTCCTTTGCGTACTAGGCGACATTTTTGAGGTTATGTGGAAGAGCAATTTACTTGTCATCATGTAAATTGAACTTCACCTTTTGTCTTCTTATAATAAATGAACTGTAGGTACATGATTAATTTGATTTGAATGTATTAGAAGATAATAAAGACGGTATTATTATTATTATTATATGGCGGTAATCGTACAAAGTTGTAGTTCGCTGCTGGAAAGAGCTGATCTATCTCATACCATTTGAATTATCTTGGCTTATAGTTGTTTATGAGAACGTATAATTGAAGTTTCAGCATGTTTTTTTCAAATCACACTTGCATATGCTTTTCTTGTCGATGTCGTTGGCATTTTGTCGATTTGTTCATTATTATATGATGCATTATCAATCATCACAACGTTCCTTAACGACAAATTCGGAATCGACTGTTCCGACACCCATTTCTCACAACTATCAAACCAACGTCGAACATTGCGTTTATTATTACTATCATTGCTAAATATGACATGACAGTGATTTAAAATCACTGTTGACAAAGCTACTGTGTTAGCGAAACATATCGTGATATATTTTTCAAATAAAGTTTGTGGAGATCATGAAATTCATGCAATTCGAAAAGAATACGCGACGTACGATTAATGCTGTAATACCTAGTGGAGGCAATGTATGGAAATATATATTCTAATTTCAGAAAGAGACAGATTTCTTTAATTCAGATTTTTTAAACGCCGCATCTGTCTCTCATACAATGTAAAATTATGGTCCAGGGATCAAGGAGTGTTTATATAAACACTATTCATCGGCGTGTTTTGAAAAGATGCATATTCAGATATATTTGTCACTTAGCTCAATATGTAAATATGGACATATCAATATCTCAGCATTGGAAGTTTTGTTCATTCAGCTAAATAGGTTTTTCTGATCACCTCTGCTGTACGTGGGCGACTGTTAGAAAGAACGGTTTGAGAGACGGGGGGACGATGAATCCGTGATTTCTTTCTGGCTTTCGAGAGGAGAAAAGAAACAGAGTTCTAGGAGCTCTTTGCCTGAGGCAGTGGTCTCAGAGTGGTGCGAAAGTTTTTCCGGAAGTAAGTCTGCGTGAATTTTGAGGAGGTTCGAAAACTTGGCAGTTTGAAGGGTTCTCTTGACGGTCGATCAAGGGCGGTATTTTGTTTTGGGAGGAAGTTTCCTTAGAAAGAAATAATTGATCAGCTTCAAATCGGTGAGGCAGTTATTCATCATTTTTAGGCACTCCTAGAAGGAGGAGTGCCTAGAAGATGACAGTACTACCAACTGTCGAAAGCGCTCGCAGATAATTAATAGAAGATATAAAGCTTCAAATTCTTTTTGTAAAATTTAATATTGAAATACTGAAAATAAAGGACAATTAGTTTCATCATTCAAAATAAGTAGGTCGGATGATCCTGATTCCGGCTCTGCGGTCTCATGTCTTGGGATAATAGATTTAATGAAATTATTTTCTGGTGATAGTTGGTTGGAAAATCACAGTTACAAATTCGCGGGAAAAATCAAAACTCCGTTCCATGTGACTCATTCCATATTGAATAAGTCATAAATAGTTCGAAGCCAACCCTCATCGCTGCTCGTGACGTGAATATAGACAGATGATTCTTATCCTCCCATTACTTTTTACGATTTTTTTCGGGAAAATTCGCCAGCATGAATTCCACACATCTTTTCATCCCGCTATGTCATAATCTATTCAGGTCGCATCAAATTCTCATAAAAGCTCGCTTCGTGTGTCAATATTGAAATTCCGGTGAAGCGAAGGAAAATACGAAAATGGATATGAACGATATGGACAAATAATAATTCACAAATTGTTTAACCCTTTTCCGCAACATAGAAATGATGAAATTATCTAATGGGGGGGTCAACATCAATGTTTATTTTTCCGTTTTTCAATTTATAGAAATAACAAGGGGATAACAATGAAAATATTATAAATGAAATGAGGAAATGAAAAGAGGTAGAGAATGCTTCCTTGAAAAGATATAATTTGAACCTTTGTCGTGAAATTAATATAATGGAAACACATTTCCACATATATACTAGAACTTGAACGCTATGGCTCCAATCTGGCAAAGAGCTCGATCAAGTATTTATAACAATAGATATTTAGCACCTTAAAAAAACGTGTTTTTTTAATTTTCAAACTATTATTTGTTACCCACTTTTTAGTTTGGCTTGTTATTTCAAGCCCATTTGTCTCACTTGCTCTCACACAGAGTCTGTGTGAGAAAATTATTGAATTCTGTCGATCCTAATCATGATAATGGAATAAACTTACGGAATCATTGTATTGCCATCGATTCTTGATAAGTGTACAAGGTGTTTAAAATACATCTGTCCGTTTGAAGGTAGTCAAAATCAAATCCAAAGGAGTCGGTTACAAACAAAAGTATAAGTGGAGCTAATAAAAGCGTGTTGAAATAGATTCACATCGATTCACACGAGATATTCACTTTGAAAGAAGCTTTGGTTACCATGCCGCTAAAATGTTTATTGCTTCCTCTCTTAGTCTCAGGAAAGCTCTCAGTATCACGACTTTCTGCAAATAAGTCGAAGCTCTAATATTCACAAATAAGAAGGTGATATAATAATACCAATTTTGAAATCCAAATCAGCCCAATTTTCAACACGCTTTTATTAGCTTCACCTGTATGTATGTATGTTTATTTGTATGTTTGTAACTCTCAAGCTCTGGATCTGTATTTGACAAAATTATTGACATTATTTGATCTATTCACGGGAAGATGGCGCTGTACATAACCTCTTTCATATATCGATATTTTTGCTTACTTTACATGTATTTCTTCATTTGAAACAAGTAATTTTTTCATTACCACGCGCGTCTGCTGCTTTATTTGTGATCCTCCTTTGCGCGACTACTGCCTTGGGCTTGGTAGCTGTTTTTCAGGCCCCCTCTCCGGAATCGGAAAATATTAATGGTCATTTTTCTAAACAATATACCTACGGCTGATTGATCCCAAAGTTTAGATGAAATAAATATAGTTCAAAAAGACTAAAAAATACGCTTGTTGCTAGTGTTTCAGTTCAGTCTGTTTGGAACTGATTGGCTAGGTTGTAGAAGAGCTTCATCTGAATGCCGCTAGCCATTCGATAATTGTTTCCTTAAAGCAAAAGAGGACCTAAGTTCTTTAAGTCCCTTCGTAATATTCCAAAATACACTTGAACTTCTTTAATTTGTAATTGAATGAATATTACTCACTCTGATTCGTTGTTTTCGAACACCAAACTTCCCTCGGCCTTTTCGTACTCCTTGTCCTGCTTGGCGGTGCCGTCCTCGGTCCAGTATGGAACGACGACCCTCCCTCTCGCCCCCGAACACCTCACCACCCGCAGATCGTAGTGACCGACGCTTTCTACAAGCTCGTGGTTTTGCGACTCGAACTTGAAAAGACCGCCGTGGTCGTCGTCCAGGATGATCACGGTGGCGAGGGTGGGCGAGCCCAGGCTGCTGGGGGGCTGAGCGGANATGTTATCCTCAAAAAATTCATTTAATGTATAGTAAGCCTTTTTGACCAGAATTGCCTTCAAGTTTCTCCTAAAAGATAGTAGCGTGACGCATTCTGTTGAACTTTTAGGTAACTTGTTATACAGTTTCACTCCATTATATATAATTGAGTTCTTGATTTGACTACTTATTGGGATAGGAACCTCTAATTGGCTAGCTTGTTTAGTATTATTGTAGTGAAGCGGAGAATTAAAGATACCTTTGTTTTTGTGTAAAAGGCATGCTGATCCAAGAATAAACAATGAAGGCACAGTTAAAATTCCGTCCATTAAAAACAATGGCTTGCAATGGCTATATGCTCCTCAAATTTTAGACACTCATCGATATTAATTCCCAAGAATTTTGTAGAGATTCCACTATTGTACTTTCCATATGAATCTGGTAGATTGCACTTGAAAGTAATTATACTAGTTTTTTAGTGTTGAATGACAGCAGATTTGCATCGCACCATTGTTTAATTTCGCTGAGGTCATTATAGATGCTTTCATATAAATTCTGTTGATTTATATTATGCCACAAAAGTGTGGTATCATCTGCAAAAATGGTGAAACTACCAGAAATACGTACAGTAGCCAGGTCATTTACATATAGTGAAAAAAGTATGGGTCCTAAGATCGATCCTTGGGGCACTCCTGCTTTCACGTTCTTTGTACTTGAGCAACTATTGGTTTTAACAAACTGTCTACGTCCTGTAAGGTAGGATTCAAACCATTTTAAGCAGTTTCCAGCAATTCCATAATGATGTAGCTTCCGCCGCAGTATTCTGTGGTTAACACAATCAAATGCTTTTGATAAGTCACAGCCGCAGTCGCCTCACCATCATTCAAGTTGCTGTATGCTTTATGAAAAAAAATAAATATTGTGTCATTAATGCTTTTGTTTTCCTGAAACCCAAATTGATGAGGAGTGGTCATTAAGTCTTATTTTAACTAGATTCTCTATCAACTTTGCAAGAATTGTTTGTACGAGACTAGTCAGAAAAGTTTTTGACCTCAACATGAAGATAGCAACACTTGTGAATGAAAGCTAGTGATTTTCATTGTTCATTTGTTGACAGTTACTCACCAAAAAGTCAGCCATTTTGGACGAGCAGTTGTTTTGTAATAGTCGTTTGAGGTAGTTGATGTTAGTGTCTTTATGAAAATGGACAAATTCGAGTATCGAACTATCATCAAAGGCAAGACGCCTACGCAAAATCAAAGATGAATTAGACTCTGTGTGTGGGGACTTAGCACCATCATTTAGCACAGTGAAATTTTAGGCAGATGAATTTGAACATGGTAATGACAGCTTAGGAGACGATGAACGTTCAAAACGTCCAAAACTTGCAACTACCATCGACAATATCGCCAAAGTTCATCAAATGGTACAAGATGACCGACGAATTACAGTAAGTGAGATAGCAGAGGTTATGAACATGTCAAAAGAACGTGTATGTCACATATTAAATCAACATTTAGGCATGAGAAAGCTGTTAGCGCATTGGGTGCCGCGGTTGCTAAGCGACTAAGCGATTATTTTGCATAATTATTACGAGTGGTCGTAAAAAAAGTATACTACAAACCTCTTCTCTTTGTCTCCAGGTCCAAACTCGAGCTTCCCCTTAGCCTTGACGTAATCACTCCCAGCTTGCGCCGTACCATCTTCGGTAGTATACTCCACCGTCAAGGGAGAATCGATATCACCACTCCTCACAATCCTCACCTCGAACCTTCCGCAACTCTCCAACACGGTATACTTCGACGGCTCGAAGTAAACTCGACTCGCCGATTGGTTGAACTCTGCAGCTCCCGATTCTCTTTGCAGTTCTGCCTTTACCTCGCTCAGATCGCTCTGAGCCCTCTCGGAAATCCTCCTCAGTAAATCCCCGCTGCCCATCAGCTTTCTGGTGGCTTGGATGCGGTAGAAAGCACGAGATTTTGGCCCCTTGTTGAGAAGCATCTCGTGGGCCATCTTCTCCAGCAGGCCCAAGTCGGCGTGTGGGTTCTGCTGACGCAGCTCCTTCAACGTGGTGATGTAATCCTGCTTGATGTCCTCGTGGACATCGTCCAGAGCCAGCAGCTCGGTGTTTCCGAGTTCCAGGTTATCCCCTTCGGCTTGCACAATGACCCCCCGACGGTTCATGCGATAGTCCTTCTGAATGTACCTATGGATCTTCCTGTCGGCAGCGTAGGCCGTCAGGACAGTTAATGGAAAGAAGGAGAAGGTCAATAGGCCCTCCCATATCTCAACAATACCCGGGGAGAAGAAACAGAGGATCAGATACAGCCAGACGTAAGCGAACACCGACCACGTGGCTGTCACGAAAAATACCCCCAAGTGCTTTATCTTCCGCACTTCTCCGTCGGGTATGACGGACACGCAGAGCGCCATGATCACCAGGAGGTTGTAAGCTGCAGAGCCAACGATGGTTCCCGGCCCCAAGTCACCCGCGTTGAAGTTCTTGGCGTAGATCTCTATGACACTGAGAAGGATCTCAGGAGCGCTGGACCCCAGCGCCATGAGGGTAAGGTTAGCCACAGTCTCGTTCCACATCCTTACCACGATGATCTGGGTGTCGCCGTTCGGTTTCCTGACGGAAACCTCCCGCTCCTGGGAGGTGATGACTTCGATGGCTGCCATAAAGCGGTCGGAGATTATAGAAACACCGATGAATAGGTAGATCAGGACGAAGAAGTAGACCAGGCCGCGGCCGACGCGTTCCACCATGGGGACGTCATCCAGCGGCTGCCAGCAAGGCATCAGCAAGCCGTCCACGCACCGGATGGTGTCGTTGGGGGTTCCCGCCCCCATTTTCACCGGATCGTCGCGACGCGCGTCAATGGAAGCCGCATGCCAAGCGTCCACGTCGGCAGTCAGAGCAAAACTGAATCGGCGAGGCAAACCCCCTTTCGCAGAAGCGGCGCAAGTGCTGAAGATGTTTTAGGTCGCGTTTTGATTGAGATGTTCGGGTGGCGCGACTGAGGTGGTTTCGCAGGCTAGTTGCGGCGGTCGAGGTTTTGTTTATCGAAACTTGATGTTTTCGTGTTGAATTAAAGCACATTTGCTTGGTTTTGATGGAATTAAACCGAGTGGGTAATGACTACGACCATAAAGTAATCAATAAATTGATAATTAGTTGAATAAACAATATTATTAATAACAAAAAAATGATGTTTTCTAATAAATATTAGTTTAAAATCTTGGTGTTCTATTTGTATTCTTTGAAAAGCATTTTTCATGGACGATAAAAGATAAAAGTGTATTACAGAACAAACTAAAAAAAATCACCCCATAAAGTTACTTCTTAATATAAACATTTGAAGGCTCTAGTTATTCAGTAACTTGTATTTATGAATTTTGCCTATAAATGAATTGAACTATTGGAAAAATAAAATCGGCATACGTTGCTTTCTCAAAAGGGCTGACGTTTCGGACGAACTGTCTTTCTGATCTCAAAACCCACTAAATTATTAATGAAAAACCCCTCGATTGGAAAAATATATGAAGATATTTCTCAACAGACATTTGAGGAATGTAATACCCAGATGTTATATTCGATTAATACATATACAGGACGTTGTCCAAGAACTCCGTTCAGGTTCATACCTCTGTCTTTAACCGCTTGCCTCAGTTATGGTAATCAGGTTCGTTCCATTGCCATTTCTTAGCTGCCAAAAGAATATATGAGGATGCTTTGAATCGCATTTTCAGGAGATTATTTGATGCATTGATAGATAAACACTTTTTCATTCAAAGAACCCTGAAATAAAATCAAAGACATAACAACAGAGGGCTCCCAAACCCTTGGAAGTTCTGCAATGATCTGACATATTTTCCGACTGATCGAAAATTTCCTAGAAGCCGAAAACTGTAGCCTACATTCTTGAAATGGAAAGCTTCTTCACGAATAGACGAGATTGGGAGCTACCACACAACAAATCTCCCTTCATCGTCCCATTATTAACTGATATATTCCGTAACTACAACGATCATTCCAGATTGTTCCTGAACATTCCACAAATTCCAGAATATTTCGAGATGCTCTAGATTTTTGTGCAATGCTTTCCAATATTCTAGAAGGTTCTGACTGTTCCAGAACCTTCTAGAAGAGAAACTTCCAGCCCGTGGGTATGAGTTAATAAGCATACCCTGAAGCTGCTGGATTCAATCCAGAAAAGAGCCATCCGCCTGATTGGAGACGCAAACATACTTGCTGACCTTGATAGTCTAGCTAGAACATCGAAGATAGGTTGGAGATTCGTCTCTCTTCTATAGATACTTTCACGGGAAGTATTCAAGTGACTTGGCACATTCGATTCCACCAAGAGCGGTGCATATCAGAAATACGCGACGGAATGTGGCTGCTCATTATTTTAAGGTTCAACTCAGTACAATTTGCACTTCACCGTTCAGGAAGTCTTTCATTTATAGAACTGCGTTTACGTGAAATAAACTTTCTGAGAACGTTTTTCCGTTTATGGATTTAATCTCCGGCGATTCAAATCCAATGTGAATCACTACCGTCGCACAGGCACCGCTCTTAGGTCGCCTCAGTGATTTTCCTGTAGTGCTTGTGTTTTGTCCTTGAAAAAATTGAACGAGTGTATCTATATCTGTTTCTGTAGAGTAGGGAGGGTGAGTGAAGCCACTTAGGCCACTTAGGCCACATGTGACCCATTGTACATCCTCCCGAGGAGTTGTCCTCCTAGGTTATCGTTCATTCTGTCCTTTCCAGGAAGGTATAGAGGTCACTTGGAGACATATCCTTATATATCCTTGGCCAAGTGTAGGCCAAGACTCGCCAAACACACACTCTCTTATTGACGGTAACTCCAGGCACTCACATAGGACATGCCTGACAGTCTCATCTTCCTGTTCACACATCCTGCATAGAGGTGTGCCCACTAGCCCCATATTATGGAGGTGTTTCCTCAGTTGAGAGTGGTCAGTCAGAAATCCTACTGTGAAGCGTAGATTTTTCCTGATCATCCCCAGATATTCCTTCAGTGCCAGCTTCCCAGGGTCACCCAGGGTGATCCTGGCAAAATTGCATCCTTTGATTCCATCTCATCTCTTTAGGGATTGAGCATGGGTGAAACATTTGGCTGGTTCCGGAATTGTCGAAGTCATCCGGCCGTAGGTGACATTGGGTCCTGAAATTCTTAGTCCAGCCGCTTTCTTGGCTGAAGAGTCGACGACCCGATTAACTTTACTCCTGTCGTGCCCTTTAACCCACCTCAAGATAATGTTATTATTTACCGAGGCTTTGGCTAAATCTTGGTGGCACTCTAGTACTAGTTATCATAGTGATAAGCAGCATCGAATTGGGATACTCAGAAGAAAAATGCAACTCGTTCGATAATGTTTATGTTAAGTTAGTCGATAGTGACCATGTACAATTTAATAAGACAGTGAACGGGTGTATAGAAAAGATTAAATTTGGAGAAAGGACTGTCAAAATTGCATCTATCAAAAACCAGACAGTTCATGTCTTGAAAAAGGATTCCGTAAGAAATATGGTGGAGCTGGTAATGTTATACTTTTTGGGTTGCGAATTATATGTATTGGAACCGTTTGCTTTTAGGAATCTACCAAAACTGAGAATCGTCGAAATATCTTTTTGCAATCTGAAGGAAATACCAAAAAGTAAGTTAACATTTTCAAAGTAAAAGTTATTTCTAATGTATTTTCTATTCGTTCATATGAATGAATGAATGAATGAATATCTATTGACATAAATATGGTACAGGTACAAGTTAAAATAGAAAACACTTCAATAAACACATATAAATCCACAGAAACTATCTGGGCTATAGTTTGTACGTGGTGAGGCAATTAAAAAATGAAAAAAAACTATAGTTAAAATATATTAAATGTTAATCAATACTTATATCTAAACTTATCCAACGAGCGAAAGCCCATTGGAAAATTTCGTTAGACCAATTTTTCAAAAAAAAAACCGCTACATTCAGGGAATTGAACGTCCTTTGCACTTGATTCTAAAGCGCAAATAACTCCTCTTTGAAGATTAATTGAGGTTTCGTAGTGTTTTTTGGGTTGTAGGTTGTCCCCCTCACAAATCAACTTGCAGTACCGTTTCCACGGACCACTCTATATCAGTTTTACCGAGAAACCTTGTCACACGACAACCAAAATCATGTTATGAGATGTATCAATGTGGCGCAATATAAATCCTTTCTTTATTTCAATAGTCGATATGTATTTTTGTGAAACCGTCATTTTATTTTTCTGATTGCAGACGTCTTCAACCATATTTCCAGCATAGAAGAGTTGGGTTTAAAATACAACCAAATAGACTTCATCGAAAATCAAGCCTTCGCGAACTTGACCGCCTTGAGAAAATTGGTCTGCAGGCACAATAACCTGGAATATTGGAACAGAGAATGGTTTGATGCCACTCCAAATTTGAAAATTATGGATTTCCAGCATAACAAAATTAGAACGATCCCAAGAAAAGCTTTCGCAGCTCTCCCAAACCTAAAAGGAATTTTCTTCGGATACAACGAAATTAGCGACATCCAGCCAGATGCCTTCAAGGGATTGACCTATTTGGCATATGTGGAACTGAGAAACAACAGGCTGAAGGTCCTAAATGAAGATATTTTTCCAAACGACATCAAGATCAATAGATTGTTGCTCACCGCCAACTATCTCAATTTCATTTCCAACGAGGTTCTGAAGAAAATGTCCGTGGAGGAGGTTCTCTTGTACCACAACCCTTGGAAATGTCCGTGTCTCGATAGGATAAACTACTGGCTTTATACTACCAAAGGAACTTCAGTCAAAGTGCCTGAGTGCGAGGTCGATTCAATCCCAATTTGTGCTTATCCGAATTTGTACTCCCAGTCGTGTTTGGAATATGTAGACGATGAACTTACTCAAAGGTATCTCAATAGTGTCAAGGCCTCTTCAACTGATGAACATAAATATTGTGCAAGATTAGACTGACATTTTAGTAACTGACAGTGTTGTTCCTGCTTGGAAAAATTGCAACAGACTATGTCGACAACAGAAAAGTGTAACTCCTGAATCAAACACACAAAAGCGCATCATTTCGCGTCGAGTGGTTGGTAACACTAGCTGATTTATCTTCATCCTCATTTTCATAATTATATTCAAATTTGAACACCTGATACTTACAATTACTTACAAGTACTTGAATTCAATTCTACTTTAACAAAATTCGAGTATTACTAAAAATAGTGACACTGAAAACCTCGGCTGCGGAAGCTTCAACCATTTTCTGTTCTGAACTGTTTCAGAAATTTCTATACTTTCAAAACCACACCATACTGGTGACTACGAAAACTTNATTTGGGAAAACTTGAACATCCATAAATTTAACAGTCATAAATCACTTATCAAGGAACAAGTACAAATCAAAACACAACAAGACCTCACATTCAATATATTAAACAAAACCATACACATTCCTAGAGAAGATCTAACACAAAGAAGAGTATCTGATGCAGTACAAATACAGGCAAATTTACCTGAAGTACCTGTAATACCTGAGTTGAGACGCTCTGACCGTATAAAGAGGCAGACGACAAGATGACAAGTTCAGTTAAAGGAGTGCCTAGAAGATGACAGTACTACAAACTGTCGAAAGCGCTCGCAGATAATTAATAGATAGATAACCATTCCAAAACTAGTTTGTTTCCGATGTAGTTCAAACATCTCAATATATTCAATAAACCGTCAGCCACCAGCCATATTTGATATACTCAAAACTTTTTTCTTGTTGAGGTATTGATAATAAGAAAATAAGCAAAAACCATAGCAATGTTCTCTTTGGATGGTATCCTTTAAAAAACTGTAAATAATTTCCGTGGCAACGTTAGTTTAAAACGTCTTGTTATCTCGTTTTGTTAGTATAAAAATTCAAGTGTTAAGTTCTTTAACTTTCAACAAATGGTTAGATTAACGAAAATGCATGAAATAACAGTTTTACAAATGATTGGTTACGGAGATAAAACCCGAACACAACAGGAAGTAGATCGCTTATTTCATGAGGAATTTCTTAATTTACCGCCCATATCTCAAGGAGCAATAAGCAAAATTGAGAAGCAGTTTCGCGAGCTTGGTCATGTGGGGCAGATAAAAAAAGCAGCTGCCAATGCAATGGGTGATGAACTCAGTTTAGATGTGATGCTTGAGTTTGTGGAAAACCTACATACATCGAGTGGACAGGCATCCACTACATTCAATGTTAGCCATACATCAATAGTAAACATACTGAAAGAAAATAAAATGCATCCCTATAAAATGATACCTACTAGGAGCTCATGGAAGACGATTTTGATTTAAGAACTTATTTTTTGTGAGCAAATGATGGACATGTTAGATAATAATATCATCCAATTAGAAGACTTCATGTTATTTGAGTGTATTTTGTCTCTTAACGGTCATGCTAATCGGCAAAATTGCCGCTACTGTAATCAATGGAAAATCCTCACTGGATGAGAGAAGAACACACGCAATACCCTGAAAAAGTTAATGTTTGGGCAGGGATTGTAGAAAACCATATCATCATTGGTACCTATTTCATTGAGGGCAACTTGAATGGCGATAATTATCTGGCACTACTTCAAAATGATGTCATTCCAAGTTTAGCAAATTTATATTCTGATCCAGGAAACCCTCAAGTTCCAGTGATTACGATATGTTTTCAGCAGTATCAAGTTAATGTTCGGCAATACCTCGATACAACATTTCCCAATCGGTGGATAGGCAGGCGAGGATCGATTGAATGGCCTGCGCGATCACCAGATCTTTCATCATTAGATTTCTTTTAATGGAGATATGTAAAGAGCAATGTGTTCAAAACTAAACCTTAGATTTGAATGACTTGAAAGAACGAATAACGCTTGCGATTAGGTCGGTCACGTCTGATATGTTCGGCGTGGGTGATTTGTTCACTCATTCGAATTGACTGCCGTGTTGGTCGGTGGTTCAAGCCCTAGTCTGAACGATCGATCTTCACCTCGTTAATCCTTAGCTCGCACAAGTTTAGACTTCTGAGGGTTGTCGTTCGTAGCGGTGCGACAGCTGGTTAACGGAAAAACAGATTTTAAACAGTTTTTTTCTATTTGAGATTAGGATGTTGCCAAGACGTTTGCGGTAAACATTTCGAACATATACTTATTCGTTAACATCCATACTTCTTTTTCGTATTCTGCATTACATTTCAGTTTTTGAGTGTATTTTATCGAATTTCGGTAACCACGTGATTTTAATTTATTTTATCTTAATGGTTGCAATAAACTTGAAAGCGATATATCACAAACCTATACTTCCCATTTGAAAAATTGGGGGTTGTACCTATCATTCGAAGGAAGTTGAAGGTAGGGGTGGCATTTTTACCACTTTTATTTTGTAACTAACGTTACTGCAGGTTCGTCCTATACTCATACTTATTGTATAAGTTTGAAAATGTCCGTTTAGGACGAAACTGCAGTAACGTTAGTTACAAATAAAAATAGTAAAAAACATAAAAAGTTTCATTTCTCCTTTCTTCATTTCCAAGTAACATTTGATTTATGAGTTTCTACGACTCATAGAATGTTACTCAAAATCACACGAACCATTCCTTTCATTTACATATCCTCACTCCACCATTCCCTTATTTGTAGATTCTCACGAAGAAACTATAACGAATGAGTACTCTTATACAGGGTGTAACTGAATAAGTGTAAAACATTTAGGGAGGTGATTCCTCATCGAAAAGAAGATAGGATCTTTTCATATAAAGGAATTTCATTGGAGCATCCCTTGTTAAGATACAGCCCCTTAAAGGGGGTACNGGCATATAACATCAATATGTTAAGGCATTTTGACCTACCTTAGATATGTCAAAGATTATGAAAGATAAAAAATCATCCATTATTTTCGGTAAAGTTATTCAATTAAAGGTATTGTTCTCTGCTTTCTTTTATCACACAATTGCAAAAATATCAAGAAATTGATAAGAAATTGGAACGAGTTTATATTTACATATCAGTATCGAAATTTCTTTGTTTCCAATGAAATGAGCAATGATGTGAGATATAATTAGGGGAAGTCCCTATGAAAATAACATGGCGGTGTGAAAAAAACTGAATTTCTGAGAAATGGCGACTGAAATGCAATTCTACGAACAATACCAGTTTTATGAAACTGATTACCTATTTTTGTATGAACAGAAGTTATTGCGATGATATGAAAACAAAGAAATGAAAATCGCGAAGCGTTTGAAATATTTAATTTCATTCATGAATATTGCGATCTTATGTGCGATAATTCCAAATTATCTTCAGAAAATTCTCATTACAATCACGTGACTTTGTGATCTTATAAAAAGCGGGAAGATTCTATGATGCATCATTCTGATTCTGTAAGTGGTGGCAGTGTTTAAGCCTCATTTGAGAAAGTAAGTATATTTGTGACTAATGGAAAATTTGAGCTTTTGTCAACTACTAGAGTACTAGGAGTAGATTTGAAATAAAATTCGAAAGTTACCAAAAATGAAGTTATTTAGTGATAATTTTCTTTTGGTAAAGAGTGACAATTGGCAGATGATGGGTTCAAATGTGGAATTTGTGTAATTGATGACTTGTTTATTTTGTGGTGATTCATGATCACGTTAATGAAATGAATGGAAACACGTTTGTTTAATTTCCACTAGTGATTTTATTTTTACGACCGGTTTTGGGTTCTATCCCGTTGTCAAGTATAACCACTAATCTAAAAACGTGGTCGAATAGAAAGTTTCTAAGTGAGCTGGATGGGGGTGCCAACTATAAAAATTCAACACTGGAGATTGTAGAAATTACCGTGGTTATCAAAGTAACGAATTGAAGAGTGGAGACCTACATAATCGAGTTGCCTGTTTAGGGTTATACACTGTGTCCAATATAGGAATGAACAGCATGGGGATATCGGAAACGGTAAGTGATACGGGGTCGATTGAATTAGAGAAAAGTAGCGCATTTATGTGCCTAATGCCATTTGAAAAGTTTTGATATTCCGAATAGTTTCGGAGATATCCGAGAAAAATACGAAATTGGAGAATTTCGTTTTTATTTTCTCCTAGCTTTATTTTCAAAGGAATGTAAAATAAATAGCACTTTTTCATGGCCACTTTTTTAGTACTATACGATAACATAAGCAGAATTTCTCTGCGACGTTTCATCTTTTAGAAAATATCATCAACTTTGAATTTTTATATAGGCCAAAACTAAAGTCTACCCTGTATACGACCCCATTTCTTATTGTGAATACAGCAACGTATCACACAATATGATTTCATAACCATTTCTCGTGCAAAATGAAAAGTCATTACTTAACGTGCTTTTCTTCAATTGTAGATAGTACGTGCTGGCAAAAATGATACATAATGTTCATACTTTTACATCTCTTTACATTTTTAATTTGTGTTAAAAGTGGAAAACGACAGCTTTTCGAATACTGAAAAATTTGATATGTTGTCATGTTATATTTTGTGCCAGAGAAATTGTGGTGGTGCTGAAAGTGCGTTCTCTAATGAGTTTTCAGAGAGGCGACCACCTGATAAATCAATGTTGAGACTTTCAGTTATTAATTTGAAAGAATACGGATAATTTGAAAAACCTGTGGTTTCCCGACAAAAGCAATCTATTGAAGAAAGTTTACAGGCCGTTGTTGAAAATCCTGAAATATCCACTCGCACCATTAAACATAATACCGAAGTGGCCAAATCCACCGCTCACTACATTTTGAGAAGAAATAAATATCAAATCATTAATTTATTTGAAAGACGCTTTAGATAATTTGTCTGAAGCGGTTACTCACAGCTGCTGGTTTCAACAAGAGTGTGCTCCAGCACAAAACGCTAGAATTGTTTGTGATTATTTGAACCGTCGCGTCGCTTCCCGAGACAGTGGATTGATACTTATAGTGATACATCCTGGCATGCAAGGACCCCCGACCTAAGCCCACTAGACTGTTTCTTTTGGGAATATATAAAAAATCAAGTGTACTCTCATAATTTTCGAAACGAAGGAGATTTGCTAAGATTGGTTACTGCATCCTTTAACAATATTTTTCCGAATATGTTAACTCAAGTTTTAAATTCGTCTGTGAGACGGGCGTACCGGTACTTGAAAAATGACGACGGGTTATTTGGACACTTGTTAAACGTTTCTGTTCATTTCCTATAATACATATCAGACGTTTGTTTAATTTCCACTA